GGGGCGTGGCCGGCTGCTGGCATCCACAGCAACCCGCCCCCGCCCGCCAGCAGTCAAGCTGCGCCTCTGTTAGCGTGGCCCCAGGGTGAGAGGTGACAGGAGCCGAGGGGGGGCTTGCTCATTTACTCGCTTGCTGGGACGTGATGCTACCCGTGTGTGTCGACTAAAACGTGCGCGAAGCCTGGCCCGTCGTCCAGTCGAACCTAGCAAGAGAACATGGACACAGAACTTGGCTGGAGATTGTGGCTAGAGATCCTTCTTCGCCAACTCCGTCCACACCTTTGGGGACCCCTGGACCTGCTGGGGTTGGACCCCAGCACTGTCCCAGGCCCCCAGGGCCGGAAGCCCAGGCAGCCGTGTGGGCAAGTGGACGGATGACTGACTCCCGTGGGTGTGGTCTCTGAACACGGGTTGATCTCGCGATGGCCGGCTGCCCCTCTAGACAGCACCTCAGCCGTGCTCAGCTCACGGAGCCCGGCTCACCGCACGGCAGTTGGCGGCTGCTGTCTAACGTCTCCCCTTCCTCCTGGCAGCTAAGCGCCCGTGCCACGTCGGCCTCGTGTCTCAGGCACCGGACCGGACCTGGCCCGGGTGTCTGCGTGAGGCGTGAAGGCGGCCTGTGCCTGCGCCGCGTCTCGTCACCGCCCCCTGCTGTCCATGTGCACCCCGCGGACAGCTGCACACGGAGGCCGCCGTCCAGTCCCCGAGGACCGCCTGCTCCTCGTGTCTGTTCCTGCCAAGACCAGCGGCCCTGCTGTCCCGACGGCGTGCACGCGACATGTACATTTTTAACTCTGCTGTTCTCTGCCTGGGCTTGTTCAACAAAAAGGGCGAGAACCACGTGTTTCCTGGGTGAAGGGGTGGCGGCCCGAGGGCGCTGCGCTCCCCTCCTAAGGGTCAGACGTCATGGAGAGGCCGCGTGGTCGCGTGTGATCGCACAGGCGGCGGGCGCTGCCGGGACCGCTGGCTGCCCTTTTTGTCCTCAGATCTGCTGTTTTCTCTCATTCTCCCTGTTTCTAACTTTCCCACCTCCTCGCTTCTGTCTGGTGTGTGAGACGTGGGGTGTGCGTAAACAAAGTGAGATCCTGCCCCGGCTGGAGGCCCCGCCAGCGGCTTCACACCTTCCGGGCCCACAGGGTGTGGTCAGGGGCTCAGGGTGTGATTGGCGTGGA